ACCCTAAACCCTAAACCGTCAACCGTGGAATCCTACAGGCTGGAGAGGATTCTGGAGAGAAACCACGGCGTACGGGCTCCAAGCTTCAGAGGGCACAGGCTAACTACCTAAACCATTTTGGGGGTTCCTAAATATACACAGGCTAATTACCTACGCTATTTTGGGGCTTCCTTGGTATACTTGTACTATTAAGGGGGCCCAAAACCCTTATTCTAGTTGTATATTAGGGCCTCTCTATTAGAGCAAGCAGGCTCCGATCGGTGGGCCCCGAGCCCTACACCTAGCATCCCGATGCCTCCATCCTACTTCTAAGCTAAGGGGGGGTTAGATTCTAGGACATTAAAGGAAGCTACCGGCGGGGAGTTTAGGGTATATAGGGCGTCTATAAGGCCTCTATAAGGTATATAGACCTTCTATAAGGCTCCTATAACGGCAACTACCCACCTGAAAATAGATGGGTCAGCCCAAACCCGTTGGCCCTGAACCCCGAAAGCCCTTAACCCATGAGCTCCCAAGCTTTGGTGCTGAGCCGATGTTGCTTGCATCATTTGGTTGTTCATCTGGTTTTTCCGATACATCTCTATGGGATGCTATGGGCTTGGTGGTTGTGCTCATGTCGCTGACTTCTTGCACAGTGATCATAATGGATGGTTATGGGGCTGATATAGGTCGGAATATGCAACATTTTGGTGCTAAATTTGATGTTGATAAGATGATGATGACGCTGGCACGTAAAGAATACACCTCGTAGTAAATAGTATCGGCTTTTTACTACTTACTTACGGTCAGTTTTTGAATCATATAGCCGGATGCGAGGAATTGGTCCGGCTCTCTACAACCACCGTGCCTGACACCAAAGAGGATGTTCTGCGCGAGGCGCGCATTCAAGGTCTCGGTTTTTTCCGGAGCATACCCTCTACCCGCCTATCATCGCATCTCCATCCCCATGTTACGCTGTCCTTGTATGGCCGGGGCCAGTGGTGTAGGGTTCCCCTGGATTCAGGGTATTTTCGGGGCCTAAAATAAATACCATTACTCTTTTTGGTGGTTCCTTCTTGTAATTATAGTATATATACCCCAAAACCCTATTCCAATTATGAAGGCCCCTGCAATATTCAGGTTTAGGGCCGCCAGGGCTTTCCGCTGGCGGATTTTGGGGTGCGGGTTTAGGGTTTAGGGTTTAGGGTTTAGGGTTTAGGGTTTAGGGTTCAGGATTGCCGTCCAAAGCTTGGGGGTAGGGTGTTGGTCATGCCTTGCCTTCATGCAGGAAGCTCGGAATTATACTGTGTTGTATGATATGATCATATGTTACTATATTGTAGTGTGATTTTACAATACATTATATCATAGTAGAGTCTAGTATAGTATAGTGTAGTATAGTATAGTATAGTATAGTATAGTATAGTATAGTATAGTATAGTATAGTATAGTGCAGTGTAGTGTAGTGTAGTGTAGTGTAGTGATGTATAGTATAGTGTAGTCTCGTATAGTATAGTATAGTATGGTACAGTACAGCATAATATCGTATCGTATAGTATAGTATGGTATAGTATAGTCTAGTGTAGTGTAGTGTAGTGTAGTATAGTATAGTATAGTATAGTATAGTGATACGCTGCGACGCTGCGATGAGAGATGGAACCACCTTGTTCGCGAGACTCGGAAGACTGTTTCATTCGATCATCCCATGCGCCGATTTCGGCCAGGATTTGCCGCCAAACTTCAAGATCACAAAATTCAACTATCTCCCAAACATCCGACAGAAAAAGCCCGTACATCTTGAAGAACCTCGCTCTTATTTGAAGTTTCTCTGCACATACGCTTCTCGGGCTTCGTGGGTTTGGCCTTAGATCTCAAACAGCCCTGGTTTAAGGCTCGGGTTCTGATCTTGTCTCTTGACGAAACAGGTGGATGAAGTCCTGGCCCGCCTGAAGCAGCGGACTCGGCGCCAGTTTCAAAGCACAGAGAGCGCTACCAGCAGGAGAGAAGGTGTAGTTCATCCGGGGCACTCACTCCAGCTTTGCTCCCAAACATGTGTCCGCCGTATATTTGAGCTGAAAGCATCCGAAGCAGACAGATGAGACCTAGCAAAGCACTTACTCCGTACTCCCAACCATGTCTTCACCGAGGCAAGCCCTGTCTGCGGTGGCCCTTGCGCGATTGATAGAGAAGACATGGACAGATTCCTGTCAGGTACGTTGGGTGGCCAGTTTTTGATGGATTCGATGCTTGTTTTCTGACACTCTTGGGAATCTTGGCATAGCAGCCATCATCCGCCAGGGGTGGTAAGACACAGCATATTCACACAATACAATATCAATATATATATATATATATATATACACATATACCTACATATATATATATATATATGTGGATATATATATATATATATCTTAAGATATCTATCTATCTATCTATCTATCTATCTATCTATCTATCTATCTATCTATCTATATCTATCTATCTATATATATCTATGTATATATATATCTATATATATATATATATATATATATATAAAGATATAGATAGGCACATTCTTCAATGCATCCGGGGCGCCCCCGACTTGTCACCCCCGCCAGCTCCAAGCCTCGAACACCTCGGCCCACAAAACCCCGGACCCGAAAGCTTGAACCCTGAACGGTTTAGGGTTTAGGGTTTAGGGTTTTGGGTTTAGGGTTTAGGGTTTCGGGTTTAGGGTTTCGGGTTTCGGGTTTCGGGTTAAGGGTTTAGGTTTGAGTTTGGGGTTTAGGGTTCAGGGTTTAGGGTTTAGGGTTTAGGCCCAATGTCTAAATTTCCGCATTCAGGAGCTGGGCTGCGATAGTTTTTTCCCAGGCCCGGAACTTGCTTGCAAAGAGGCCTCGGAGCCTCAAGAGGCTTCGCCTTGCATCCGGAGCTCTGGAGCCCTCGAGCCTTAGCACCTGGCCAGGTCAAAGCCAAGCTCCTCCGGGCGAAGGAGCATTGGGATATGACGGAGGTCGGTTGTTAGGACGCGGGCGTTTCAGGGATTCTGTGACCGAGATATGTTGGGCTTAAGGGTTTTAGGGCACTTCGCAGCTTTCGGGCTGTAGGTTATGATGACTTCAAGCTTTGCAGCCTGCTACATCTTGACATCGAAGCCCACACACGAAAAGATCCTGACGGTCTTGTCTTCACACCCTTCGGATACAACCCGACAAGACTTCCTCATTGCCCCAGCCTCCTAAGTCCTCCCAAGATGTCTGGATACCAACGAACTTCCCCTTACGGAACCCTTAAAGGAACCCCGTAGGAGGACCCTTGCAAGAGCGCTGAAAGGGAGTTTCAAGGAGCCTAAACCCTAAACCCTAAACCCTAAACCCTAAACCCTAAACCTTAAACCTTGCGAGAGCCAAGCTCCGGGCAGGTTCGTCGCACCGGCCGATCCTTCAACGACCTCAAGGCTTCCGGGCTTCCGGGTTTAGGGGTTTAGGGTTTCGGGGTTTCGGGGTTAGGGGTTTAGGGTTTAGGGTTTAGGGTTTAGGGTTCAGGGTTCAGGGTTCAGGGTTTAGGGTTTAGGGTTCAGGGCTAAAGTTTTTCGCATATCGGGTCTGGGCGATTCACCCGTAATCTACACTTAACTTTAAGCCCGATGTCCACAACCCTGAGCCCAACCCCGGTACCTCAACCCCTGAACGTTCAGGCAGAAAAAGGGCATACCTCAGAACCCTAAACCCTAAACCCTAAACCCTTGAATGTTCTTAAGGATTTTGAAGGCCATACCTTAGAACCGTAAATCCGATATCCCGTGAGGCTTCAGAAGCCCCAAAACTTGAAACCTTAAACCCAAACCTAAACCCCTAAACCCCTAAACCCCTAAACCTCTACACCCCTAAACCCCTAAACCCCTAAACCCCTAAACCTCTAAACCCCAAAACCCCAAAGCCCCTAAACCCCTAAACCTGAAGCCCAAGAAGCCCCAAAGCGAGCCCTAACCTCCGCAGGGATTGGTCCGACGCCTGGACGAAGAGAGGAGGCCGGGAGCGGGAAGCCTCGGGAGCAGGAGAGTAGGAGTCGGAGTAGGTGTGGGTTTAGGGTTTAGGGT